AGCGGGCCGGGTCTCTGCCGCTCCCTGCAGCCCGAGGAGAGCGGGCAGCACGGGCAGGGTGAGCTGCCCATCCCGGAGCCGCGGGGTACGACGCCCCAAGGTTACGGTCTCTCCGGCGATGCCGGGGCGCCGGTGAGCGATGACCGCGAACGCGAAGCGGGACACGTACTCGTTGGGGGTTCCCTGCTGCCCGCAGAACTGCCCGCGACTGTCGGTCGGGTAGATCACCTTCCGGGGGTCCCCGTGGGTCCAGGCTGAGCGGCGGGGAGGCAGAACAACGTGGCTGCGGTTACCCCCGCAGCCCTCCCCCCCCCCCGCCGTTTACAAGTCCCCCGCGGGCACCCTCCCGTCCCCATCCGGACGAGCGGGAGGACGCAAGGCCCCTCGGCGCGGGGTTTTGCCGGCGCGGACACCGGGCCACAAGCCCAGCCACAAGCCAAGCTTTCCCTATTGCCGAAAACTTGCCGACGCAGCGAAAACCGGCGCAGACAGCCCCCCCACCCCGGTACGTACCCACGATGCCCACCACCACGTAGCCCACGATGGCGATGACCAGCAGGACGCAGCAGATAACGTCCGTGCAGCCCCTGCCAGCGGGAAGAGGAGCGTTGGGGACGGGAGACGGGCCACGGCACCGCCGCCGAAACCGGCGCCTCCCGAAAGGCTTCTCTTACCTGTCGTAGATGGGACCTTTGAAAGTCGGGTCGTATTTCTGCGGCGTCCCTGCGGGGACGAAGGAGGAACGGAAGAACGATTTGGGGGATGGCTGGGATGGGAGGAAGGGGCTCCTCATCCTCCTCTCCCCACCGCACGCAGAAAGAGAAGCGGAGGGAGCGTAACGCTTTTAACCAAAAGCCTCAGGAGAAGCAGAATCGGGAGGAAAATAATCTCCAGATGCCATTTCCCTCCCTCCGTGCCTCCGCTGTCCAGGCGTGGAAACAATTATTCCCTTCGAAAACCCGTTTCCACGCGGTTTTCTCCAAAAATGCTTCCCTGCCGCTCCCGGGAGTCTGCCCAAGATACCCAAAATCCCTTGGAAGCACCGAAGAGCCGC